GGGCATGTTAATTTATTTGACTGTAGTATTCACTTCACTATGTATGAGGGCACTTCAAAAAGTTCACGGAAAGATTTGTATGATCTTTTAATCCTATTTTTCCACAAACTTTTTGAAGTATCCTTGTATATGTATAGAAGATAAGTATGTGTTACCCCTTAAATATATACAATAAAAAAAAGATTAATTTGGGGAAATTTTAGTACTTTGCAATATTGAATGTTGTTGTATGTTTCATCCAGGAGCATAATATGCCTGTAAGGAAACCCCCAAACTCAAGTTGTCTTTGATGTCCTCTACCAAACAGTGTTAGCTTCAAATAAAAATAAAAAACCAAAAAAGGGTAGGGGGGAAAAGGATGTGTTGCTGACATGATTAAATTATTTCCAAGTGTCAGGGGAAGAAAAACTTTTCCTCTACCCTCTTAGGTTTAGTATTTGGGGACCTGCAAATTAAACTGTTAAGACATTTTAGCAAGAGAACTGACAGCTTTTTATGTAGAATGCAGGGAGTTCACAGAAAAAATGACTCTAGGAGGAAGTTAGAATGTAGGACTTATATAGCATCTTAATAGAGGAAGGAGGAGGAGAAAGGGCACTTATAGGAAAACAAATAATTTTTAGGAAAGATAAAAGGGCCCTTAGGAGAATAGTTGGGAGACATGATATTTTTGTGGCAGTGTCTGTTTAGATGGGGTGCTGACCTCTTTCTTTCTGGTGATAAATCAGTTTTCCCTGGTTTTTAGAAACTCCTGTGGAGGGGATTTATGACAATTGAGCTCTAGGCAGATAAAAGAGTTCAGAAAAAAGCCTATTTTCAAATGCCTTCAGCTCAAAATAACTTTTATGCCACAGTGATGTATTCTGGACCCTGTCACAAGCCATGGAGATTCAGCTGCCCCTTTGGGAAAAGTGGGCCTTGGTGGAACCACTGCTGCCAGAATCTAGAAAACTGTGTGGGAAGAAAAGTACTGTGAGCTGTGGTTAGACTATGCCTCTACTATGCTACAAAAAGAGGCAAGTCCTCTGATGCTGAAAAGTAGCTGAAAAGCAGCACTGTCCAGTGGAAATAAAATGTGAGCTACATGTGTCATTTTTAATTTTCTAATAGCCACATTAAAAAATTAAGAAACAGGTGGAATCAATTTTTTTTTCAAATTTAGACTTTTCTTTTTTTTAATTTAATTTTTGTCCACAAAGCAAGTCTTAATACATTGAAATGCTAAGACCATAGAAAATACATTCTTTGACCACAATAACAGGAGGAAATTTAGAAAATTCACAAATATGTGGAAATTAAACAACTCTCCTAAATAAACAATGGGTAAAAAGAAAAATTGCAGGGAAATTAGAAAGCACTTTGAGATAAAAATCAAAGTGCAACATATCAAAATGTATAGGATGCAGGGCTCATGCAGTGCTTGGAGGAAAATTTGTATTTGTAAACACCTATATTAAAAATAAGAAAAATCTCAAATCAGTAATGTAAACTTCTACCTTAAGAAAATAGAAAAGGAGCAAACTAAATCAAAAGCAAATATAAATAGGAAATAACGAAGATTACAACAGAAATATATGAAACAGCGATTTAAAAACAATAGAGAAAATCAACAAAACCAAAAGTTGATTCTTTAAAAAGATCAGCAGCATTTGCCAACCTTTATCTAGAATGACCAAGGAAAAAAGAGAGAAAACCAAAATTACTAAAATCAGAAATAAAGCAGAGGCATGGTAGAGCAGTTGCTTCTTCTGTTACTCTGGAGTGGGCTTTGAGGAGAGAGATGTCCCCTTTTTCTGGTCTCCGCTGGTGACTCTCCTTGTGTCACCACTGCAGTCGAGTGTATTGGCGGGCTGCCGGCACAGTGGCTGTGGCTACTGCTGTGACGTTGAGCCGCTTTTGCAGTAGCTGTGGTGGTGGCTGTGGTGGGCCACCCGTGTGGAAGTGGTGTTTTCAGTGGGCTTCTTGCCTGCTTCTGGGCAGAGGGGGCTGCCCTTGGCTTGGAATCAATTTTGATAATCTATTCTGTTTATAACCCAATTAAAAATGTTATCATTTCAACATATAAAAATATTTGAGATATTTTGGATTCTGTTTTTTGGTAATAAGTCTTCAAAATCCAGTTTGTATTTCACACTTAGTTCAGATGAGCCACCTTTCAAGTGCTTAATTGCCACCATGTCAGACACCATGGGTCTACAGGGTCCAGCCTCAGAAATTTTTTACACAATCAAGGCTGCAAATATCCCTGCTTCTGTAGCTGAATATCAAGCAGATCTAGAAAGAAGTTACAACAAGATGGGGAGCTCCTGGGATTAGGATGTTAAAATGGAAAGTGTCAGTGGCAAGACTATAGCCTCTAGGATACATTTATGTGAATTAGAAAACGGTGACTCCTCTGGGCTCAAGGCTTGGTGAGAGGAAGTTGCTTTTGAACAACAGCCACAACAACAACAAAATGCTCCCCTGCTTCCAGGCAGATTTGTACTAGTCAGATTCGGCAAAGAAAAACAAGAACCATTCTGAGTATTCCAGGTAGAAAGGATTTAATATAGGGGAATAGAGAGTTGGGGTCTTGGCCACTTGCTTCTGCAAAGCCCAACTCCCTACTTACTCCTGGAAATCAAGGACATTTTCCTCGGTCTCCCACAGCCTAAAACAGTGCTGGGCATGGTGGTCACTCAGTAGATATATAAAGAAGACTTGAATAGAGGTCTCCCCCAGGACTGAATTTGGGCACCAAGAAGTATGACCCAGCCTGCCCCAGGGCCTGAGACCCCTACTGGGTTAACGTATTGAAAGTCCCTCTTGTTGAGCACTAACTCGTGTGTTTTCGGCAGATACCATTACCTGGTTTCCCAACACCCATTGTCCCCTCTTCCTTGCTAACAGAACCCCAATATAGTTTGGGCAGCAGTGTGCTCAGCCCCGGGACAGGGATCATGACTAGTCTCAGCCGGTCAAGGCAATCCCATTCCCTTTGCTTTCCCAGCCTTCCTTGTGGCTAGAAGGCAGTTGGGTGACCCAGTTCTAGCCATTGAGATATGGAGAAATCTGCCTGAAGGATTTTGGGCAAGATAAGAAGGTCTGCAAGGAGAAGTACTCTGCTCCTCATCCCCCCATCCCACCCACCCTCTACCCCATGCCTCCTGCCTTAGAATATGGTGAGAGGATATGATGTTTCGATCTGCTGTTAAGGCATTTGGCAACCGTGAAGGGAAGGTCAAGAGAACAGCAGATGTGCAGCCATCAATCAAACAAATGCCAGCACTTCCTACCTCTAAACTTCTTGAATTGTGAGAAATATATGCCCCTATTTGTTTGAGCCATAATTACTTGGGTTTTCTGCCATTTACAGCTTAATGCAGTTGTAACTCATAAACTTATAATTACTAAGGGACTCACTGATCACAGAACAACAGAATCTTGGAGCTGGGAGGGCATCTAAATTTCATTCAGTTCACTATCCCCCACTCTTTTTTTTTTTGTGGCTTACCAGTATGGGGATCCAAACCCTTGACCTTGCTGTTATCAGCAGCACGCTCTAACCAAGTGAGCTGACCAGCCAGCCCTCCGCCACTCTTTGTGTGAGTCTCCTCTCCAGTATCCCCACTGAGGGGTCAGAGAGCTTCTACTTACATACCTCGATGACAGGGACCTCAGTACTGCCTAAGGTAACTTATGTGTGATGGCTGCAGGGGGTATAACATTTTTGTATTAATCCAAAATTAGATTCCCTACAATTTCCACCCATTTTTCTTAGTATAAATAATTAGGAAAGAATAGGGCATCATAGAAAGTGTAGGGGGTGGGGTTAAATGGGTATAGTGCCAACTTTTTCTAATGATGTGATATTGGGCACTTTCTTTAACATCTCTGATACTTAGTCTCTTTATCTGCAAAGTAAAAGGTGGTAAGTTCTCCCTCCCAGGATCACTGTGAGGATTTGCTAGCACAGAGTAAGCCCACAGCAGTTGTCATGGTCTAACTCCTGTTAACAGAGTTGGGCCCAGGAAAGAGGTGAGAGCCCAGGACAAGGGACTGGTAATTTCCAATGCAGGGTAGTGATGATGGGTGTATTAGTCCGTTTTCTATTGCTTATAACAGAGTACCTGAAACTGGCTAATTTATAAGAAAATCAAATTTATTTCTCACGCTTTTGGAGACTGTGAAGTGCAAGGTTGAGGGGGACATCTGGTGAGGGCCTTTTTCTTGGCGGGGACTGGGTACAGACACAGTCCCTTGGCAATGCAGGGTGTCACATGGTGGGGCTGAGCAGGAGCACACTTCCACGTGCTTTCTTCCTCTCCTTATAAAGCCCCAGTCTACTTCCTGATAACCCATTAAATCATTAACCCATTAATTCACAAGTGGATTAATCCATTTATGAGCACAGAGTCCTCATGATCCAATCACCTCCCAAAGGCCCATCTTTCAAATACCATAATTGAATTTCCCATTCTCTTAACACTGTTGCCATGGGGATCAAGCTCCAACATGAGCTTGGGGGACATTCAAACCACAGCAATGGGCCATTATAACTCCCCACCAGAGGGGTGCGTGTATGCGTGCAAGTGTCTGCCTGTCTTTTCGAGAACTTGAGGAACAGGAGGGCAGCCCAGCGAGGTGTGGCTGCTCCCTGGAAATGGAGACGTGCCCATCCCATCTGGGCCTGCTTTACAACCTTGTCTTCAGTCTCTAATCTGTTGGGCCACATCCTCCCTGCCCCCAGACCCATCCCTCATTCTTCTGGCCTATCTGACGCTTGTCCTCATGGGATAAAGGCTTACTGTAACAACAAGGAAGACACTGACTTGTAAGAACATGCAGGAGGCTGGGGCAGGTTTGCAGGAGGACTTTAATTGCCAAGAGTGCAATCAGAAAACAGAGGCACTGGTCAAGGAGGTGGCCAGCCAGGGAGAGGCGGTGGAACAAGAGGGAGGTGGCCCTGGACCTCGCATCCTGCAGTGCACTGGGCTAGGGGCAGGAGTGGGTAGGTGGTCTCACTGCTTGGAGCGTCCAGCGTCAATACAGGTGCCATAGTTGGTGTTGGTGATGGAGCCCACGATGCTCTTGTCCCCCTGGCAGGTCAGGCCCCGCTCACAGGGACACTTGTAGTAAATTCCATAGAGCGACTGTGGAGACATGGAGCCAGTGGAGTCACAGGCTGTGGAGGGCTGCTTTGGGCATCACTTGCTTCCTGCCTGACCGGGAGAACCAGCAGGCCAATCTGTCTTTTCAGATGGTGCTTCCGCTCTTGGCCTCCCCGGGGGCTCCGTGGGCCTGGGAGATCTAGGTGCTGGTCCTCACCCTTTGGCTCACTCGCTCTTACTAACTTGATCTCTCTTACTGACTTGAGCCTCTGTTTACTCATCCGTGAAATGGGGATAACAAATCCCTGCACCCACCCTTCTCACTGGTTAGTTGTGAGGGTCAAAAGAGATGATGGGTTGGGAAAGTACTCTGGTGCCTGTTGACCTCCCTCTTCTCATCCTCTCAGCACTCAACATCCCAGCGGACCCTCCTCCCTGATCGTACCCCCAAGCCTTGAGGGCCTCTCCTCTGAGCTCCCTCCCAGTCCCCCTGCACACACCAGCTCCTCAGCACCCACCGAGGCCGAGCACTCGCTGTTCTCTCTGACCATTGGTGCGCAGCGGGCCACGCTTATCGCACTCGTATGTTGGCAGCAACCGCTCTTGCACTGGATTTTGTTCAGGCAGATTTCGCCCTCCTCCTGCCAGGGAAAGCCAGTCAATCCAGGACCCCATCCCCAGGTCCTTTCTCCACCCAGACCCCCGCCCCACCACCCAGTCCTGCTGACGGTGCCTCCCCTGATGGGGCGTGTGAAGGAATCCAACCCCCGAGTCTGGAGAGAATGGGCAGTGTGGTGGTCAGGACCCATGGGTTCTAGTATTGGCTCTACTAGCAACTCCCTGGGTGACCCTGGGCAAGTCACTGCCCCCTCCTGGTGTTCCCATCTGGAATGTGAATATGTGGCCCCAAAACAGGGTCTCCAAACCTTGCTGGGTCTCACACTCCTTTGAGGAGCCTATGAAAGTTGAGAGCCATCTCCCTGCAAGACTCTTTCCTATTATGTGAATATGTGGCCCCAAAACAGGGTCTCCAAACCTTGCTGGGTCTCACACTCCTTTGAGAAGCCTATGAAAGTTGAGAGCCATCTCCCTGCAAGACTCTTTCCTATTCCCCCCCCCCCCAAATTTACCTATAATCTCAGGGAGAGCCTGGACCCTCCAAGCCCAACCATGGCCCTGAGTTCAGAACCTTTGAACTGGGTGGGTGTCCTAGAAGGGCTTTCCCGATTGTGACCCTCAGTGGAGAGGCAGTGTGGGGCAGTGGGGAGGGCATGGATCTGCCTGCTGGGTCTCCAGTCCCAGCCCAACCACTTTCCAGCTGTGTGACCTCAGGCAGGTTGTGCAACCTCTCTCCCTCTGAAGATAATAATAGTAGCTACCTCAGTGGGTATTATGAGGACTAAATGAGTAAACATTCCTGAGGCATTCAGAACTGAATATGGGCATATAGTAAGTGTGCCACTGTAGGTCAGAAGCTGAGGTCATTGGTGCAGCTTTTTAAAGCTGCTGAACCTTCTGAACCAGGGTCTCCAGGATGGGTTCCCAGGGACCTGAATTTTTATAAAGCTTCCTCAGCCAGATTGTATCCCTGCTCTGAGCATGCTCCACGTGGAGCTTGGGAGGAGCGGATCAGCCTTTTCTGGGGCCCCTTGGGAAGAGGTGCAGGACAGGGTGCAGCAGTAAAGAGAGAGTTTCTGCTCCTCCCAGCCCCAGCAGCCCCAGGTGGGATGTCAGAGGTCAAGATCCAAGCTTACAAAATCTCCACCTGGGGACTCAGAAGACTCCTCCCCTGAAGACCCTCTTACCAGATTGATAACAAGTCCCCGGGGATCAGGAGCCGCATAGGCCACTGCAATGGTAACAAGCAGAAAGACCAGAACCTTCTCCATGGTGAGTGGGCACAACTGGTAGCAGCCAGCAAGTCAGGTGACAGAAGAGCCAGCTGAGGTGGTGGGGCTATAAAAGGGGCCATGTCCACATGTGACCCACCTTCTTTGTCCCACAGGGCCCGCCGTGAGCAGAGGCACAGCTGTGGCCAATCTGCAGGGTGTACTGATAAGGGCAGATGTATGTGTGTGTGTGTTGGTGATACTGTGTCATGGTTAGGAGTGTGGACTCTGGAACATTTTCAGCTGTACAGGTTAGCCGGGCTCTCATATACAAATTTGAGAACATACTTATATTATATATTACATATTACTATATATATAGTGCTTGCAACAGGGCCTTGCCCATGTAAGCAGTAGGTAAGTGCCAGCTGCCTGACGGCTCTGGGCTCCTGGGCAGGGCTGGCACTAGGCTGAGACGATATCGGTACCTAAGGTGTGAGTGCCTCCTTGCATTTTGTATCCTAGGTGCCTTTCTCACCTCACCCTAGTCTGGGACCTGTCGTTGGCCCCAGCCAAATCCAGGTGTCTGGCTGAGTCAGGCTTAGGTGAGGAGGGGTCCCAGCCTCCCTACCCCTCAGCCTTTCTTCTAGGCCCCTCAGAGGATTCTAGGGCAGGTCCAGATCCCCATCCCTGACCAGCTTTGCAACCCCTGGCCAGGGCATGTGTTCTCACTCAGGTGCACCTCCCTCTGCCCTCACACCAGGGGCTACCTGCAGGAGTGATTCAGGGGCCCTTAGGAGGTCCTTCTCCATTGACTCTTTCCTCTTTCCTTTCCTCCTCACTTAGTATCTGCAATCCCAGCATCAAAGACTCACCCCTTTAGTTAATGCTTCCATTCACCCTGCCCCCTACCCAAGGCCACGTGTGAGTGTGGCCAGTCGTTAGTCCTGGCTGAGAATGAGGAGGTCTCGTGAGCCTCAGGGGGCCGGGGCCGGAGGCTGGGAAGAGCACAGCTGCCTGAGTGTGCTCAGGTGTGGGAACAGAGCAGCTTTGCCTGACGGCCTGGTCACTGCAGCTAGAGCCCCCCGCCCTTCCCATCCCCATTCCAGGAGGTGGAAAACAGCTCCATGGTAAGGCCCCAGATTGGGCTTTGATCCAGACCAACCTGGCTGCAAAACTGCACTTATTAGCTACATGACCTTGGACAAGTTATTTAAACTTTGTGAGTTCCTTGAGCCTCAGGTTTCTTATCTACCTAGGGGGGATGGTGGCTCCTACTTCATAAGGTCAAGATTGAATAAGACAATGTATGTGGAACCCCTGTGGAAGTGCCTGGCACCTAGTAGGTGCTCAGCTCACATAATATCACCTTCTTCCTCTCACCCTTCAGTCCTTAGGGCACAGAATAAAGAGGAACGAGCCAGGAGACCCTCAAAATGAGAGAAACCCATCCAGTACCAGAAATGCAGAAATAAAGGAATATGACCTCCTCTCACTTTTATGGAACTCAGTGTTTGAAACCACTTTCCTGCGTGAACACTTTCTGGTCCCTCCTTCTGTTTCCTCTACCCGCTGCCCACCCCCTACCCCCACTATCCCTGTGAGGCGAGCCACGGGGAGGGTAATCACCATTTGCTTCTCACAAGTCAAGATGGGAGGCTGGGGAAGGAACCAGAGGAGCTATTTCTATCTGCAAATGGAGCCATGAAAATGCATCAGTCCTATCCCCAGCTGGTCACACCGACTTCCCAGAGGAGAAAGACTGGAGTTTTTTTTCCATTACAAATGAAGAGTGTAGCAAAGAGAACTTTGACAGTGTATGTGCTACCAAAATGTAAGAAGAATTAAGTACTTTTTGTACCAAATCTCATAAGGTTGATTACCCCTTCCCCCAATCTAAAGAGGGTTTTGCTTTGGGTTTTTCCCCTCAAGAAAGAACCAAGTTCTGGTTCCTACATGCAGTCCTATGGGTTAATCTCACAGGCACAATGATGAGCGAGAAAAACTGTAGACGAATACAGACCGTGTGATTCCATTCACATTGAGTTCAAGAAGAGGCAAAACTAACCTAGGGGGATAAGTCTTGAGAGTGGTTCTCCTGGGAGGCATATTCACTAGCAGGGGGGGCATGTGGGAGTCTTCTAAAGTGTTGGAATTGTTCTAAATCTTGTGTAGGGGATTGATAACTTATGTAAAAATTCATCTAGTTATACACTTGGGATCTGAGTACTTTACTGTATGTCATGTAGCTACTGGATCTCAAAAGAAAGACAAAATTCTCCCCAGTCAAGTCCTACCATCTGGCTAGTGGGGGTTGGGGTGGTGTCATGCATCCCACTGAGTGGGGTGAGGCACAGCTGCTGTAGAACTCCTCTTGGGTGTCTCCCCATCTCCCTTCTCCAAGATCTGCCCCAGATGCATAGGGTGAGCCTCTGGCAGCCATTTCAGTAAATGAGACATCTTTGCTCCCCACTGCAATGGGCTGGACAAGGCATGGACGTCTGATGCTACCCTCTCTCCTGAGATGTAGACTTATATCCAACAGCCTGCCTTCAAGCTGGTCTGAAACATGGAACTAGGGAAGCCCTAGAAAACAGTTTCTGTGTGCTGATGAATCAATAGAGAAAGCTGGTCTGCAGAAGGGAGGAAGAATGTGTCATCTAGTCAGGGAGAAGCAGCAGCAGCAGCAGCCATGCCTTGACTTCTTGATGGATTTGCAGGTCCTGGTTTCTCTCTCTCTCTCTCTCTCTCTCTCTCTCTCTCCACAGCTGGCTGAAGACCTGCCCCTATGGGGCCTGAAAACTCCCTTACATTCCTACAACACACTCCCTTTGCTTAAGCCACAAGCATAGACGTCTCAGTTCTGCAAAGGAGCTTACAGTCCTGGATCAGTGTCTGTTTTGTGGCAACACTGGAGTCAGAGCAGAGAGCAGACAGGGAATCCACCCAAAATTCAAATTCCCCATTGAGAGACTCATATTGACTAGCCTGTGTCCTCTAACACCCTGCCTGTGACCTGCACTGGGCAGAGTTCTGAGGTGGACAGCCCCACCTGGGCCTCATGGAATTGGGAAGAGGCACTTCTCCAAATAGACAGGGGGTTTTGATGCTGAAGGAGGGGAAAGGATTCTGGGCGAACAATAATTGATACCCTCTCCAATTTGTTCTTGGCTGCCTAGCCCATAAATGCCCTTTCTTCCCCAAGAAGGAGGTTCAAATTACACATTGGGGTGTGTAATAATTGTAACTTTAAAATTTTCTCTGACTATGCAGTCTCTACCATGTTCAGGTAAGGGTAGGAAGTGAGGCATCCAGACTTTTAGGTTGTCAGTCTCTTTGTGGTTCAATACCTAGTCTCCAGGGTTTGTCCCACCTCTCCATTCTCCTGACCAAGACTGGATCAAGTGTGGAGTGGAGCTTATGTGGTTTCAAGGCAGCAGGAGGAGGGGTCTGTATGATCTCCTAGGCCTTCAGTAGCTGCTATGAAGATGTCTCTTGCCCACCCTTATCTTTCTGGTCCTGCTGAAATTATGGATGCTGAAATTTGTGCTCTGTTCTCTCAGTTCAGTTCATCCCATGGGCTGGTCAACATCTACAGAAGCTACTTTTGATGTTTGTAATTCCCACTCCTTGCCAGTATCAAACACATTGCAATCCTCTGTAAGATCAAAACCACTAGCTTTGCCAAGACCCAAACACGAGGGAGATGGCCCAGTGTCTCATCTGTGACTGCTCCAGCTCTAAGTCCAGGGTCTCTGTGTGATGTCACTCTCTTCTAGTTGTCTGGATCACATCTCAGTATTCTGTAGCTTAGGGGCTAAACGGCAAAGTTAGCCACCATCAAAGAGAAAAGAAAAGAAAGTAAGATATATAAATATGTATATACATCTTACCCAACAAGGAATAAAATATGGGTGGATACTAGTGTCCTCATTTCTGCAGACACCACTTGGCTGTAGATGGTACTTAGGACTTTCATTCTCTATCCCTCATCCCATGTTCCTTTTGCCCTCGGCCAGCATCTCTGCTGATTAGGGTTCTTTATCTGATACAGTGACCCAGATCTATTCCTGAGATACCTGGGCCCTTCATGGTCCTGTCCCAGTGTTGGGTTACTGAAGTCTTCCATTAATTTTTACTCTGGACATGGCAGTAGCAAGAGTCGGTCCAGGCATTTCCTGAGTTGCACACATACTCCTTCCAGACCCTCTGTGTATCAGCATCCTATCTCTCCTGATAGTCAGGATTAGGAAACCTACCAACATTAGCAATCCCTCTTTTTAATATTAAAGTATAACTGACACAGTAAAATTCACCCTTTTTAATCTACAGTTCTCTGAGTTTTGACCAATGCAAACACCAAGTAAACACTACCACAATCCAGATGCAGAACACTTCCATCACCCTAAACAATTCCCTCCTGCTGCTTCTTTGTAATCAGCCCAGTAGTCCCACGACCAGAGCCTGGCAATTACACATTTGTTTTTCTTTCCCTTTAGTTTAGCCTTTTCCATGTGTAATATAGATGAAATCACACATGTACTTTTTTGTGTGGTCTGGTTTCTTTTACTTAGTGTAATGCATTTGACATTCATGCACGCTGTTGCAGGTGTCAGTAGTTTATTACTTTACACCACTGAGTAATCCATAGCAGTAATCCATCGTATGGATGAAAACACAGTGTTTCATTCACAATTGCATTTACCAATTGAAGGACATTTGGGTTAATTCTGAAAAGGTTTGGTCAATTATGAGTAAAGCTGCTATACACATTAGTGTGTACACACAAACAGGTTTTTGTGTGAACATAAGTTTTCGTATCTCTGGGACAAACACCTAGAAGTGAGATGGCTGGTCATATGGCAACTGTTTCAAATTCTGTTTTTGTTTTGTGGTTTGTGGTTTGTTTTTGTTTTTGGCAGCTGGCCAGTATGGAGATCTGAACCCTTAACCTTGGTGGTGTTAGTACCACGCTCTAGCCACGGGAGCTAACCAGCAAGCCCTGTTTCAATTTTTAAGACTGTCAAGAGGTCTTCCAAAGTGGCTGAACCAATACACATTCCCACCAGCAATATAGGAATCCAGTTGCTTCACATCCTTGCTCTACTTGGCATTGTCAGTTTTGGTGTTTTAAATTTAGCCTTTCTAATAGGTGTATAATGGTGTGTCACTATGGTTTAATTTGTGTTTCCCTACTGGCTAATAACATTGAGTATTTTTTTCTCATGTTTTCATATTTGACATCCACATACGTTCTCTGATAAAATGTTTGTTCAAGTCTTCTGCCCATTTGAAAAATTGGGTCATTTGTTTTCTTATTATTGAGTTGTGAGAATTATGGATGTTATAACAGGGGGTTCAAGGTTTGCTGGTATTTTGGGAGTCAGTAGTGACTTTGGCTGTGTCAGCCTTGGTGGAAGATCCATATATAGTCTCCAGCCGTCCCCTATGGATACCTGTGATGAGACTTTGAGCCAGCACAGGGTGAGGGTGAGGTTGGGGCCGGGGATAAAGAGGAGGCTGGCTAGGCCACTACACATAGAGTGAGTCATCCTGTCCAACGATGTAGAAGTCTCTTCTGCAGTAGCAGCCCTGTAGAGAACATTCCCATAATATCCAAATACTCTCTGGTTATGCCCCAATTCTTAGGGCTCCATCCACACACCCTTTCCCCAACCTCTTACCTAATCTTCCGAACTTACTCTGTAAAAGATGCTCATCATCTGGCTGGCCCATAAGCCACTGCCCACAAAGTAATGTTCATGTGTACCTTGGGCCCTCTCTCCTTACAAGTGTAGGTGGTGTATTACTTTCCTGAGGCTGCCATAACAAATTACCCCAAACTTGGTGGCTTGAAGCAACAAGAATTTATTCTCTCACAATTCTGGAGAAGAGAAGTAGAAATCAAGGTGTCAGCAGGGCTTCAGCCCCTACAGAGGATCTAGGGAAGAATCCATTCCACGCCTCTTCTTGCTTCTAGTGGTTGCAGGCTTCCTTGGCTATGGCCACTTCACTCCAATCTCTGCCTCCATGGCCATATCACCTTTTCTTCTGTGTCTGTCTTCTCCTCTTGTGTTTCTTATAAGAACACTTGTCATTGGATTTAGGGCCCACCCACACAATCTGGTAGGACCTCCTTATTGAAAGATCCTTAGTTACATCTGCAAAGAGCTTTTTAAAAATAAGGTAACTTTCACATGTTCTAGGGATTAGGATGTGGATCTTTTGCGGGTAGATAGTTACAGCACTTGAAGTTCTGCCCTCCATGAAGATTTCACTTCCCTAATGTCTTCAGGGCCATCCTGAGTGGGGATGTCATGCCACAGCAGTCCACTTCCACCTGGTGCCAGCACGCATTAGATACCAGGCCCATTTGGCCTCCACAGTGAAACAAGAGGCCCTACCAGGTCTCTCATACAGTAGGGTATCATCCCCAAATAAGAAGGGTTCAGATGCTGATCAGCCAAAAGCCAAGCAATGTCACTAGAGACAGGATTAGGTAGGGTTAGGGTTAGTGTTAGGGAGTCACTACCCCTGCATCTTTCAAGTCATTAATAGTGACTAATTTCTATAGCTCCCCTTGGAACATAATAGTGTTTTTGATTTATTATTTGTGGAGTGAGAGGGAGCACCAGGGGCTTTGGCTTAGTTCTCAGTATATTAACGTTTAGCTCAGGGGTTAGGGGGCCAACATGAGGATTCTATCAGTTCCTGATAAGATCTGGTCTAATCACTCAGGAACATGGGATGGGCTTGAGGCCTTGCAGTTCAGCACTCTCACTCCCTGAATCTTATTTTAATGATCCTACGTCCTATAGCAATGTCTTAATAGATTTTTTGAGCCATATCACATAAGGGTCTTGAATTTCATTTTGTTCCTTGAATCAATAATCTAGACATTTGAGCCTATCTTACTTGACATTATTGAGTGCCATGTAAGCAGCTACCCCACTCAGTATTCCTGATTTCTTCATTCCTTTTAAATCTGTCTATGGCCAAAGCTACTCAGTTACCAAGGACTTGACTCCCAGAGGGAACATGGTCCTGGTATTCATAGCTGATAATTTGATTGCCATTTCTCTGTGCACCATGGGCTACTATTTTCCCAATTCTGAACATAAACAGGAATCTCAGAGCCTTTGTCCTAGTCCTGAAACCCCTCTTCTTGTGCCAATATTTGGATCAGTGAGGGTTCTTTGGTGCCAATAGCCAAAACCTACTCTGGCTAATAAAAGCAAAAGGAAAGGAAATGGAAGGATATGGGTGGGTCGCAGAGTTGTAGAAGGAACAGGGTGACCTGTCTTGGGGCAGGATTCAGAGTGGCTCTGAGGCCCAGCATAGAAGCTCATGGATTGTTTCTTGAGGATGTTGCCATGACCCAGCTAAGCAACAACATTCCTTCCCCTCATGTCAATCCACCACCAATTCAGATTCCCTAGGGAGAGACTAATGTCCTAATTTGGATCACCCACCTAGCCCTGTCTCTCAGGTATGAATGTCTTGTGATTGTCCCACCAGAACCTCAGGAAGCAGGGAGGCTGCTCACAGAGCAGGGGAAAGGTATGCTGGGCAGGCCAAACAAGGGGTATCCACCAGCCCCTAAGAGGCTGGCCCCAGCCTAAGGCCTTTTCTGAATGGGGAAGATAAAGCCCCTGCTCTGGGAAAGCTTCTAGGCTGATGGTGGAAACACAGGCTGTTCCCTTGATGAACTTCCAGTCTGATGGTGAAGACTTGTCACAAAACCAAAGAACAGATGTAAGAGAAAGAAGAAACATAGGAAATGGCACAAATATGTTCAAGGCAGTGTTGTTTTTAATAATGAAAATGTAGAAACTTTCAAACACACTGAAGGGGAAATGGATTAAATAATTATGGTATGTACATACTCTGCATCATCACACAAGCATTAAAGTCATGTTTTTGAAAAAAAAAGTAATATGAGAAAATATTAATGGTGTAATGCTAAGTGAAAAAAATTGTATACAAAATTGTATACACATTATTATCTAACTGTGTAAAGCCGTATGTGCAGAAGGAAATCCTAAACATGTTAACAGAGGCAATAACAATAATAAAAATAATAGTCAACATTTTTGAGATGTCCTGGGCTAAACATTTCACATGTTATTTTTACCTGACCCTCATGTGATAGATGCTATCATGACCCCCATTTTATAGACAAATAAACTGAAGCTCAGGAAGGTTAGTTAAGTTCGTGAATGGTTACTTAGCTAGCAAGTGGCTAACTCAAATTTAGGTCTGTCTGAAGCCAAAGTCCATGTTTTTAAGACGGTCTTGTCTTTCCTTAGCTTCTGGTATATTGGGGTTATGAAGGAATTTTATTCTTTCATGTATTCTTTCCTGAATTTTCCTAGTTCTCTACACTAGCCAGGTATTTACCTATAAAATCAAGAGAAATATATATATATATATATATATATTATTTTTTTTTTTTTTTTAAAGGGAAAAAGATAAATATTCAACAAAAATATGTAAATAAGGGAGAAAGGCACTGTATTGAACAAAGAGTATATGTCAAGGTCTGAAAAGGCTCATGAAGAATGTTCTTTGCTGTACTTTGTAGTTTCTTCTGTTATCACACTACCAGACTGCATACGTTATATATATACTGCACATATACATATATTATATATGGAAATCGCACACTGTCTTTGAGGGCAGGGGCCCCGTCTTTTTTATCTATGTGGTTCCTGCTTAGAGGATATCCTCCAATATAGGCTTAACACACAGTAGGCTCTTAGTAATTGCTGACTGAATGACAGGGAGGAGAAAGCAGGGACCGGAAGGCACCAACAGGAAAGGCTTTGCTGACCTACGGGGTGGAGGGCGGGGAGTTGGAGGTTCCAGAGGGTGACTAGGGAGCCAGAGAGGGGTGGGGTGGGATGTCGACGGCGCTTTTGGGGGGGGAGCTGTTTTGTGGCTGGGATTGAGCAGGATGAACGTGACGGCCGCAGCCCCACCCTCCCAGTTCTGGTCATCCCGGTTCCCGAGGGTGAAGAACGGGTTCCCCGCGGCTGGCCCGGGCGCGTGTGGGGGTGGGTCGGCCCCGCCCCTCTCTCAGCGGCGCCGGGCCCCGCCCCCTCCTCAAGTCCCGGGCGCTGGCCGCGGTGCTGAAACGGCGCTCGTGGAGGAAGGAGGGGCCCTGCCGGCAGAAGGGGGCGGGGCTCTCCGGAGCTGGGAAGGGGGGGGGGG